CCAGATTTATCTTCTTGAGGGCGTCTCTGTTCCTCCGCTTCGATACTTTATCGTTGAAGAAAAAGTGATTCTGCAAAATAAGTTTATTCTTTAACTTTATCTTCAAAAATAATTAAAAACAACTTTTCTGAAAACTGGCATATTTATTTGCAGACGTTTTCCAGTTTTTTGGCTTATTCTATTATCAGGTCTTCTCTGCAGCTGCGCCATTTTTCTGCATCTTTTTTTTTCTTTTGTTTATATATTTAGATTGCTGTTAAATTGTTAGAAAAAATCTGGAATCTTTAATCAATAATTTCTTCTTTTATTAAGCCATTTATCTTATTCATTATTTTTACTGGGATTAATAAGGGAAAATTTTACCGTTGTTAACAGTTATTAGGACAGCGACAACATCTGATGTTGCAGACTTCTTCGTAGCTCGGTTCTGAATAGTTCAAATGTCACTGTTATTAGGTTCGACACTCATTCCTAAGTTTCTACTACATTTTTACTAGAGAGACAAAATTTGAATCTTGAAAATACATTCAGTATCAAAAGATTTATCTGATAAACATGGCGGAAAAAAATTCAACTTTATCATTTCAAGAATAGATACTGTAACTGCGCAACTTATGCTGAAATTTTTGTAACAGATTATTGAAAACGACACTCTTAAGTTGCCTGTAGTTGCCTTAAAAAAAGTTCTGTTGCTGCGCTTATAAGTGACAGTAAACAAACAGCTTAAAGTGGGAATAAAATTTTAAAAATAAACGAGGAATTTTGTTGCAAAATTGTTCTTTAGTAAACAAAAAACCTTACTGAATAAATTTTCTAACAAAGGTAATTTTTTGGCGCAAACTGTAAAGCAGCGGAAACTTGTTTAGTATAATTTTTCAATAATAATTTTGTACTTTCCTGGTCTGTTCAGTATAAATCGAATTTTTTATCAAAAGTCTAAGCCAACAGTTGTCAGAAAAAAAAAAAAAAAAGCAGAATAAAAAAACACAGAAGTAAGAAAAAAAATAAAACTAAAAAAACATAAGAATAAAATAAAATAAACTTTTACTCTTACATTTGGCATAGTTTTCCACAAAACATACCTACTGATATTAGTGAACAAATTCTTCGGCTCACTAGTTTGTTTGCCTTTAACACTCAAAGATGCCACTTTTTTTTTCTTTAAATGTTTCTTGAATATTCACTCAAGCATAACCATTTTAGTGCATGCAAAGCAGACAGAGTTGAGCGTCGTTGAAAGATCTGAATGGCAATTACAGTTATCACAGTAGCTGATCAATTGTTTTATAAATTGAAAAACCCAAGAAAAAGTAATGTAAAAAAAAACTGAAACAAAAAAATGCTGAACCAATGTATAGGAAAAGTTTGTTGCTAAAATAATTTGAAAACAAATCTTGCTTGAAAAAAATAGGAACACAGCAACTATTTGGTTGATTGGGGTCTACGCTGCACTTATTGTTGACAATATAGAGCTAGTTTACATGAGAAATAATTGTTAATTATGACTTCAAATTAGTTATATATATAATTTCTGTAGTACTTGATTCTTCAACATCTAAATAATTGAATAGATCGTCGGCAAACTTTAACTTAAATGCTGGTTTACTCTTCCTTTCCAAGGCGGTTACAACAAATACACAGTTGAGAAGTGAACAACGACACTCTCAAATATAATTGCAACCAAATTTGAGCGCTGTAAAATAATTTGTACGAAAATAGAAAATGCAGTTAACAAAATCACAGTTATAGTAAAGTGTCAGTAATTAAGAAAAAAATTTTATTTTTTACAAAATCTAACAAACATTTTAGTTTTTATATAACACCTTTCTTTTTCCTTTTTTTTACTAACTTATTGTCGTTTTTTCAGAAGCAATTTAGGTATCTGACACAGAAAGTTATAACTAAATTTAGTTTATCTGTCTTTTTTTTTTTTTTTTTGATTAAAAAGTTAACTACCGTTTTTTATTAATAGGTTATTGTTGTATTAAAAAAAATATCTGTTCAAGTTTTCTCAAACTGTTACTTTATCGGTGTTCGTTATTTCTGCAGGTATTGCCATACGATTACAGTAAGGAGAGGTCTTCAATATATTTATTACGTCTGCCCGTCAACAGCGTTTCTGAAGGTCGACATCATTTCAGTTCTACAGAACAATTAGTTCAGACTGTTGTTACTTGCAATTTAGAAGAAGTTAATTTTTTAAACTGATCTCATTATATTACTGCATATTTATTACTTTAGTCTTTAAATGAATATATATTTTGAACATTTTTTCCAAAAAAAAAAAAAAAA